TTGAGAAGGTGCTAGCTTACTCCCAGGCCTTAGCTTTTACTTAACTAGAACAAGACATGCAAAGTTGCAATGGTTTAACTCAAGGGATAACATAACACCTGATATTAGCCAAGTCAGTGCAGCTTTGGACCTATATAGTACACCACTCTAAACCTTGTTTGCTGGGTTTAGCTCATACTTGTCACACAAGCCAAAAAAACATATGTAGCACCATGGTGTTTAAACCAGCTACATCATGTTTCTAGTTAGAGGTGATGCAGCATAGTGCAGTCAAAACACCCCAGTGCTGCTCTCAGCCACAAGAAAAACTCAAAAAATTCAGCCCAGCATAACCAATTCTAAAATATTCACCTAGCAGTGAGTCAGTAGGGAGCCCGGAGCGATTGTTTAGACAGAGAAAGAAATACTGTGTTTGCCCCAATAAGGGATTAACTTCAACTGTCAGCATAGCACATAGTTCTGCACGCTGCCCTAGGTAACACTAGAACCAGAAAAACAGAAATGGTTTTATGCAAGCACGGTGCCTGGGTAAATCAGATTGTGTCTGGGACCCCAAGAAGCACCACCGCATGAGTGGTACATGAACAGGCTAGTTTCCTCCAGCATCTCAGCAAGAGATGATCCACAGGTATCTAACAAATGCTCATGTTGCAACTCACGGGATGTAAGAGGCCACAGTCTGCTCTAAGACGCATTATGCTCTGGCAAGCTGGCCAGCTAGATTTAGAAGCATCTACTTCTTCCAACCCAATGACTAGTATCCTGGGAGACCGCAGATCCTGTCCCAAAACAGCAAAGATACCCAAGAAGAAATCTGAGAGAACTAACTAGTTCCTTTAATTCCACTCCGCTGAATGGACTACCAGCCTAGAGATTTCACCCTCACAGGTCAGATGGCTGCAGCTCAAAGCAGCACTTGACTAACTAGCATTATATACCTCTGAATGGAGAGAGGCACAGCTACACCACAGAATGTAACTTCTCAGTTTTGATCCTAGGAAGGTCTAAACAAACAAAGCTACTAAGACTCAGCCAAAGAGGAGGACAATGCTACGAACCATTATCTGATATTGTTAAATCATTCCCGGTTTCATCTTTTTCATGCTATGCAGGTAGCTCAACCTGTCCCTCAGGAAGCAGTCAGCAAAAACTGCAATGCCTGGTAACTAAGGGGTCAATTGGCTCCATATCCTACTCACCTCCAGGACACCAGTCCCCAGTCAGTCCCCACTCACGAGCAGGGGGAGAGATAAGAGAACGGACCATATCCAAGTGATGTTTCTCCTTCACAACTGGCAGCAGTTGATTTGGGAGTCTTAATCCAGCTCCTCAAAAGCCAGGTGGCTGTCTCCAGCAAAGCATCATCATTGCAAGCAACCTGTTGAGATCCATCCTCACTTGTCCAATCCCTGGAGTCTGGAGTAATGGTTTAATATCCAGTGAAGCTGCCATCAAACATCACACTTTGCCATCTTGGTGGACAGAGAAGAAGAAAATCAGTCTAATGTCTTTCCTCATCATCTAGTTTATTCCATTAAAAAACAAAACAAAAAATTTATATTTGTAAATACACACACACACACACACACACACTGGAATAGGCTTCCAAAGTTTTCTATGCAGACACAATCTGTCCTTGCATTCCAAAGAAACAGGAATGAAGGGGGGGGAAGTGAGGACGGGGCGCTGGATATTTACCAGTATATGTTTAACAGCTCATTGAAAATACAAAGAGCTGTGGATGGAGAAGTGAGACCCTAAGAGAACATCTATTGGAAAAAGAAAAAAAAAAAAAAAATTCAGTGAATCACCTGTGCCATTTAATCAGGAAGGACGATTACAGCAAGCATACTTGGTATGATTTAATCGAGAATTTCCAGCACAAATTCAAGAAGGACACAGAGGTTACGTCCGTCAGCCTTAACAGGCTATAGGTAGCAAACAGGATAGAAATAAAAAAAAAGAATGGAGCATAAGGAATCAGAATTATTTCAAGTAACTATGGGGAATCAGATCCCAGTTCTCAAAGGGAGATGGAGAACAAGTCAAGGCAAGAGATGAGACAAGATTCTCAACAACCACCAGTGACAGGAAACCAAACTGAGACCAACCACATGTGGAACTTCTCTGTATGCTGCCAGCAGGAAAGGGAGCACTGGGATAGAGATTTAGAATCCTCCATGCAGACGAAGGAAAACAATTCTTGTGCACACGAATTATTTGGGATATCTGTGGCCTACCGCATGCTTTCCTCTACAGTATCTGTTCTTTGTAACACCAGTCAGCCTTCTTAGCACAGCTGGCAGGTAAGGACAGCTCTGCTGTTCCATGGGTCTTGAAGAAGCAGCCACACCACCATACCAAAGAGCTTCTCCCCACCTCCCCCCCCCACTGTTAGGACGTAACTCTTCAGCCTATCCTTTGTTTGGTGATAAACAGGCACCAAAGCTTGGCAATACTTCCAGCTCCCCAAGCAGGTTGTTATCTCCCTTTATCAAGTCTTCTTTCCAGCACTTCTCTTCCCCAACCCTTTAGGTTCCTTATGCTTTTTCAGCTTTTACTTTGCTCCAAAAATGAAGACAGCCAGTAATCTGCACCTACCAAGCAACACATGCAGGATTAACAGCAGCTCTGCATTTCCAGCTCACGTCGCATTTGAATCCTTTTCAGCAGAGTGGTTCAGATTCTAGCGGATCACTTTGCATGAACAGAGGCTGCCAAAGCAGCAGAGGCTATAATAAACTCAAGGTTTCTTTGTACTCACAATTACAGTGGCATCCTTGAGCTCTAAGGAAAATAAAGCCTGTCCTGGGAAGCTGGAAGCTTGGCACTTCTGCCAGAAGCTTGCTTAGTGTTCCTTGCAGTGAAGCTCATTCCCTTACCACTCCCACTACTAAGGCACACCTAGCTGCACTATCAGCATATATGGCTAGAAATACACGTTGTTTTTCCAGACATCTTTTGTCAACACTGAAGCGTCACAAAAGTTTTCAAAGAACGGGCAGAGCTAAAGCAGTTGAGCTCAGCTTTAAGTGATCAGGAAAAAATCTAATGCATTTCTGAGCTGATCAGTCTCTATGTTAAGAAGATACCTGCAAGCAACAGGTCATTCAGATTAGACAGATGCACTGAGTAGGCTGCTTGGTAGTATCTGCAAGCTGGTAAATCAGCTCCCAGGAATAGGAATCAATTCACCCCTCTGAAAAATCTAACATCTGGTTTTGGGCACAATTACACTATGTGAAACCATCACACACAGATCTCAGACAAAAAGTACGAGGGAGGTGGGATGATCATCCACGTCACATTTTAGCTGAGATACAAAACTGGAAACCAATGTGGGGGAATTTTAAATTCCCCAAGAGGTCACAAGTCAAAGTGTTCAGGAATGAACAGCAAGGATTCTGGTGACACTCCTTCCCACATCTTCTTTTTTATTATTAATTTTTGATTAGGAGCAGGAAGTTGCCTCACAAGGAACGTTTCACAGTGCAGGGGGCTACTGTGTATAGCACTGCTGAAGGGCAGAAAAGAACAAGAATGTAAACCTTACATCCAAATTAAAATTCAAGGCAACATCTAGAATGGGTCTGTACAGCCAGCCCTGATGTTCTGACCACTGCATCTTCATTGCTTTTGATAGATAAGTTCACTGTAGTACAGGTCAGCCAGGCTCACCAACATGTAGTACGCTGACACTACAGTGAACAGTCAGCCTGAGGCCGTGTGGGAAACAAGTGAAGACATGGCAGGAAAGGGCATGTCCTGGGACAAGTGAAATAAGAGGGATCTTACACCAAACCCTGTGCAGGACAAATAAGTTGGACTAAGTCAAAAGGACACAGCTGTAGCAGAAGCAAGTACAGACCCTAGAGAGAGAAGAGGCAAATAAGGACTTTACCAACAAGTTCAGATTCTCTGTGGCGTAACAAAGAGCTGGAATAGCTGCTTATTTAAGGAACAATCAATAATAAAACAGACAGCAGAAAACCATCTGGGTCTACAAATCACCCTCAATGAGCCAGTTATGGTTAGAGCCTTGCACACCATTTAAGAAGCTGGCACAGTCTTTGTACAGCACTCCTCCAGATTTCTGGTGCCCTTTGGAGAGGCAAACACCCTCCTATAAGCAGTTTCTGAAAGACAGAGCATCATCAAGCCCTTTATAAAACCAGAGGCCAGTGCAGCAGCCTAGGCCTGGGCTCAGCTTTCTTACCCATCTCAAAACAAAGAAGCCAGAAAGAACAATGACTGGAAACCAGAAAAGGTTGCCATTGATGAAAGAGATAATCTAGACCAAATACTAAAGGAAATAAGGGAAGGGATTAAAAAAAAATTCACACGATGAGTGACAGAAGAGAGGTAACAATCCACCAGCTACATCTATTTACACACTGTATCAGGAGCTCAGAAAGACAACCACTATCAGACCATTTCAAACAGATCAGAGGAAGACTTTAAGAAATACCAACTTACCTGTGAAACTTGCTGCCAGAATACTGCACTGGCAGGAGTCAGAGGCAACTTTGACACTCAGGCAGACAGCCCAAACATCTACATGTACCCAAAAAAGCCCCGCGAGGATTTAAATGTGTCACAGGGCAGAGAACACAGGGTAACAAGTAACAAAACAACCCTCCCATGTATCCCATTTGTGGCCTACACAGACCCTCTGAAATCCCTCCTGAATGCACTCCAACCATGCCAGAAGACAACTAACTCTCCAGCATTTTCACTGCTGTTGTTACACACAGCCCCAGAAGTCAGAAATGTTTGCAGGAAAGCATTTCAAAGCAAAGACGTTGTCTATGAGGATACCAGAAAACCTTATTGCACTTCCCAGGCGCCAGAATGGATGCCTGGCCAACAACGACGTGAGGCCTCCTCTCCCACCTGTTACTCCCCTTCCTCCCTAGCCGCTTGCAAGTGCTGCACCGCACGCAGAAAGCCCGTGAACGGGGCAGCCACAGCAAGCTCAGGCACTTTCAGATCACACAGGGATGCCCCTAGTATCCGGGCCAGCCAGAGATGTACGGCGCAGGGGAGCGCCCAGCTACCATGTGCTCCGCAAACTCGCCGAAGCAAGCGGCCCGCTGCAGACTCGTCCACGCACCGACACCACAGCGAGCCTCGCAAGCCCCGACGGCCAGCAGCGCCCGGAGATAACGAAGACCCAGCCGGACACCACCACCGAGCGCTCCCCCGAGAGGGGCAGCCCAGGAGTCAGACACCGTCCCCGGGCGCGCCCTACCGACCCCGACACGCCAGAGGTAGGACCGCGGCCCCTGTGGGGACGGGGGAAGGAACAGGAACGCGGGGAGGACATCGCAGGCAGGCTCCCCGTAGGCGGGCTCCCCGCAGGCGGCGCGGCCCCGCCCGGCCCGGGGGCGCCGCCA